AAAAGCTAAATGATTTTACAATGCTATTAATTAAGTCAAGTTTATAAAACTGGCTTCAGGGTTTTCCCTGTAAAAACACCACCAAACTCTTCTTACATACATCATGCTTCATTAACACCGTTTTCTTCCTATTATGTCTCTAACGAAAAAAACACTATCACTTGAGAATGAAATATCAAAATGCTGATAAGAAGAACAGTAATGGCTTGACACTGGAAAGTAGTAGTTTACAGATGGCAATTAATGCTAATGAAGAAATATATTAGGTACTAACACTTAACTGCTTCCTCAGAATGTTGCTCCTCTCTGAAAAAAAAAGAGGTAAGATGGCTCTCATTTAAGAGCTTCTTAGAATGTGATGGACATGAAAATAGTCAATAGGCAGAATTTTGACTGTAATTTTGTTTTCAGACTGCATAAACCATTTTGACATTTACCATATTCCCATGCTTTCTGAGTGGTGCTGATTCCATGTTTCAAAGTGTAAAACAGCTTCATAACACAGGTATCTAAATAAATTCTCTCTAGTTTACTTTAAAGTGAACTCCTCACCTGAAGCTACTGATGTCACCATTACTTGGTGTAAATAATTGAACTAGGAGAAGGACCAGTAGTCCACTGTACTAGAATCTGTTCTCACAGGCCCTGAAAGACTTTGGAAGCTCCTTTCCTTTGTGTCATTAACCCTGAAAAAAGCCATCAAAATTCAGTCTTTTGGAGCCTGAAGCCTCCTTATATGATACTTGAAAAATAAATCTTTTCAAAAACTGGCCATACTTTTAATTAAAGATGAGTTGGAAAGCATGCTGCTCTTCAGCCACTTTCACAGAAAGTTCTTAATATTCAGCTCCTAATATATTGCAATGCCACCACAAATTTATGACTGTTGTATTAATCTGCTAGTAGGCTGTGTATGTAAGCATATCTTTACTTAACTGCAGCATCATTTACTATTTGATACAAATGTTGCTCTTAAATACTTGGTCATCAATTCTATAGGCTATACATTTTAAATATATATTATACATGCTAAAATTCATTATTGAAAAAGTTTGCTCATTTTTTACACTATTTTCCTTTATTATAAAGAAGAGTTTTGATAGAATCAAAGGTGCTACATTTTTATTTTAGGATTGAATAAGGCTTTGAAGTGATGAGAATGGAGGTCTTAGAGATGATAGTTAGCAGCCTTCTTCAACTGCTTGGATTATCAAAGAAAGTTCAGGATATTTCAGTTTTTAAGGTTGATAAACGAGCTGTGATAATGAGAACTTTTGAGGCTTATTCGTGATGTTAAAGATATATATATATATACTAATGAAAAAAAGTTACCATCTATTTTGTGGACATCCTTGATTTGCCTATAAGGCATCTCTCTCTATTGCTTTCTTAATTCCCTCTGACTGACTATCAATCCTATACTTTCACAAACATGTGCCTTGCTTAGATTCTTTCCTTTCTCTCTGTTGGTCAACATCCTTCTTCTAAGCCCCATTTCTCCCATAATTGTTCCAAAATAAATAATCTCCCCACATTCTCTGAACTAAATGTCCCATTTCCTTTTTTTTTTTTTTTTTAAATGTAATTTAGTAATTAGTTTTCGTTTCCTTCCTTCCTTCCTTGGTCACATATGAGTTAGATGTAGTGCTTAGTGATATGGTTTAGTGGAGGACTGGTTTAGTGTTAGGTCAGAGGCTGGACTAGGTGATCTTGAAGGTTTCTTCCAACCTAAATGATTCTGCGATTCTGTGTGATTCTGTGAGTTTTAAATGATTTTAATGAGTACCTCAGACAAAATGGGATATCTCTGCCATCCAGAGGGATACTGAAGACAAGAGTAAAGCACAGAAGTGGTGATTTTTTTTAGTTACAATCCCTATTACTTTGAAAATACTATATTCTTGACAGACAGTTAAATGTATCTGCATTCACAGAGGCTTCTAAAAGCAGTGTGATTATGGAACACAGTCCAAAACACAGCAAGCTCTACATACAGCGCTTATAAAGAACTACAATGTTCACAAAACTTCTCCAAGAGGTATGTCATGCAAGTAAACTTAAGAGCATGTAGCAACTTTAAAACAAGAGCATCAATAGTAGAAGTTGCTCACATTTGAAGATATTTTAGCATAGCTGTAATTCATGAGAGAAACTTCATTCGTTCTTGAATAATACATGCCTGTTATCCTCATGTGACGAATTCCATAGAAACTCCTCAGGTGAAGACTTGTTTCACATCCCTCTTGCGAATTACTTCTATTGAAGACTGGGTATTTGAATCACTCTTAATAAGTTATTAAAATATTTTAACAGATCACTTAAATCACAGTCTTCTGTAAGTTAAAATGTGTTTTCATGATGATCTGATGAGTGACACTATATTATATTGTCATCTTTGAAATAATCTTTATCTATATAACCACATCACAATGGCAACTATTCATATTTATAAGATGAACTGAGTATTAAGAGATAACTTCAGCATGCTGGCAACTGTGAAAGGCATTAATTCTTTAGCAATGTCTTGTGCATATGAAGTAAATTACCCACACACCTGTTTTTCACTCTTTTTTTATAAGAGAACATCATCTTGCATGTATTTTGACCAGCTAAGGATGACTAAAAATATCAAATAATTTATAGATGGTCATTTAATCCAATAAACTGTAACTTGCCCCAGTCACTGTTGCTTGATCATATCTTTAGGTATTAACAGAGTTCTTTACTCAATTAATTTTTACTGGTCTTTCAACACTTTATTAGTTTAAAATTAGTATTGTTTAATATTAGTAATATTTCATGTTAGTATTTACAATGCTACCAATTATCCCAGACATCATTTAAGACCAATTATTAATGAATTGAATACATAGAATTGTCAGTCAAACAGAGATTACTTAGACACGAATTTATTTTAAGTAATATGTAAATGCATTTTCAGCACTTACTCTTGATGTAGTTCTGATTTTCCCATGCTCAAATCATTATCACACCCTCTTAAATATTTTTTGTAGTAGCTTTAAAAGAGCAAGCCAAAGTGCTGTCAGAACTTCCCCACTTCAGTGTTGAATCTGAGTTCCTTTAAAACACAGACCACTTTTAAGAGGCTTGAGATGCAGGTCTTCCACTCTAAACTCTCCTCCTTCCTCATAGTTTCCTCATATATTGCCTAAGCCAGATAAAGCCTGTCTGGACAACATGAAGTATTGGGTTTTCCTTTGGGAATGGGTTAAAGATCGTAAGATGTAACAATACTGACTTGCACATTAATGGGAATGAGGCCAGAAGAACCAGGTGATTAAAATCAGAGAAACAGAATTAAACTACCACTAAGGAAGGAAAATACTAAATATGGATAGTACTTGCTATAAATCAGTCACTATGGCCAAGTCTGTTTCTATCCAGCAGAACATTCCCCTCTAAATAACACAGTCCCTATATGATATTGGTTCGTATTGACCATTCCCAGTCAATCAAGTCTGGTTTACAAGTGCTCTTTGATCCAGATATCTCTAACTCTACAGAACAGATATGTTTAACTTTCTGTGTATTTAAGAAGGCACATTCCCATGCGTTCTCCATACCATTCTTTATTAATGATCTCAGAAGAAAGCCTCTGTGGTGACTGGGAAGGGGAAAAGAGGAAATTAAAAGAGATAGGTCTGAGGTTTTTTTTCTTTTGGCTGGCACAATAATTAAAATACCTCTCCTTTCAGTAAAATATGTAATTTAACTACTTTCAGCACTGCAGCCTCTTCATTAAGAAGAAAGATAAACTATGGATGACTATCTCAGACAGAGATCATTTAAGAATGTCAATTACAGTACAGGTGCCAAACACTAAATGAGCAATGCAGTTACAACACTCTTCAGTGCCTATACTTTTTCCCCCACAATGCTTCTTAAGTCTTCATGCAGAAACGTCTGTCTGAAGTGATGCACCTTACTCCTGCCAGTATGTCATGTTTCTGGCTTGAAATAAGGAGGTGCCTTATTTCCATTGGGACATAGTCCCATAAGCGCATTGTGAATATACTAAAATATGATAACAGAATTGAGTTCAGCAGAAATCTGAGCATTTCTTTTCATTTTCATGCAAAAGCACCAATTAATGATGGGGTCACTCATCTGACTAGTGTCTAAACTCAATTCAGGGCCCAGTATTCATGAACATATGTACAGCACACCTTTCCTATTAGCAGTTCTAGGTAATGCAGGCTGGACACAGCCTGTCAAACAATTCATCAGGCTTTCAGGTTACTGTCTGACATGATTTTACTTCTAAGTTTCAAATTGGGCAGGAATCAGGTTGGACAAATTAATGTGGTGATAAATGATCTGTTCTGTGGTTCACCCTTCCCAAAGGGCCTTCTGAGAACTTCTCATCAGGCAGGATGGGGACCTGACCACAGCACAACAGTATATCTGGTCCCATGATGGGAATCCACAAACAGACAAAATCAATAGCATATGTTACACATAATGGAAATTTTAACCATGTAATATGTACTGTTTTGGTCATGTGGTCACTGTATTGTTACCTATTGCAAAGTAGCTTAATGGCTGTATCAATAATATGAAACTAAAAGTACTGTACATTTCAAACCCTTCATTATTATCAAAATGAGATATGAGTTCCACTACTGTGATTTGATAAATATTTATGAGCATTTTTAAGAGGAATGATTCAGATCCTTATAATTAGCTTGAATGACCAAAAAAAAAAAAAAAAGAGAAAACATTTAAAGGCCAAATTGGGATTAATTAGTGACCTTTCCTGCATAACTGCAATAAAGAAGTTCTTTAAATATGTATGTAATTAATGCTTAAGTGAGAAATGGAAATATACTGTTGCTACTTATTAAGTGGCAGCTGCACTATGTAAATGTGGCCATAACAGTATAAAAAAAATCACATTTAACTTTTTGTATTCTCCAAGGTCCTTAGAAATATTTGTTAAATCCAAAAACAGTGAACAAGGAAATATTACTTAGACTTACCCACGTTTAATCTGCCTGTAACTTCTCCATTTGAATTGCGAGCATTCACAGTCACATTGTGAGTAGACTGGAGAAGCAGTGATGAGTCCTGAAGTATGGAGAAAAAACAGTAGATTCAGTTGAATACTTAGAACTGTAACAATTTTCAAAATTTGGTCTGGGGTATATATTAACTCAGTCACTGAAAGAGCTCTGCAGTTACAAAACCATCCACAGATGTCATCAAATAATTTGGGCAAATACCTTTGATTATTTCAAGTATATCCGATTTAAAACAGGAAACCAATTATAGAGAATACTTCAAGTGGCCAAAATCTATGTTACTGGCCCACTGAATATGGTTGTTAATGTTTTATCTTTTAAGAAGAAAAATGCTTTAGTATTAGATTAACTACTTTTCTATACATAAATTGAGGCTTCCTACAAGGCAATGGCCAAATTATCAGGAAATATGTGATACAAAGAGAGTATTAAAAAGCTGTCTGTTTGTGACCTCAGAGGGGATCCTCATCCCTAGATAAATAGTTTCTAACTATTTGAATACTGTAAAATATCAGTCTCTTTCAAATACATTGCTTCTGGTACATCTTCTGGACTCAAGCCAGCATGTTGAAAGGCTAATCCCTGAAAATCACTCCCAAATCACGTTTGCATTGTAATCTAATATACAAGTTAACCTGAGAATTTTGAATATATTTTATACAAAGATTTTTGCTATAAACACTTTCCTAGAAACTGTGGTAAAAGCAATAAACTGTTTGGAATATGACTTACACATTTTTGTTGAAATGGATGTCTTACAAGTAGAAAGATAGGCTATCTCAAAAGAAGTCACTAAATAAGCAACATAAATGAATATCATTTTATAAATTACATCAGATAGAAGTTATAAATTGTTATTGTTGACTTATAACAGTCAATGAAGATCAGATAAATACATTACATTTAAGTGCATATTCTAAATGACCCACAAATCTGGGCATCCCTGGTAAACTTATTTTGACTGCTATTGATTGATTTCAAAAATAATTTACTGATTTGTAATGTTAATTTGAAGTGTGAATAAGCTATTCTATTTATTCTAAATCTGCAGCTGCCACATGTGTTGTTGACTAATTAAGGCCTAGTAACATATTTCTAAATGCTCAACTTTTATATTGTTATGAATATGTATAAGCTAAAATGCAATGGTATTGCCCACAACTCTGTGTTGGCATAACAAAAGCATAAAGTTGTAATAGGCTCCAGAGATGATACACAGCGAGTAGATTTTCTGCTATATATTTTCTTAGCACTTTGGAGGCCTCATTAGGTGAGAAAAGCTGTTAGGAGACTACAAGCAGAAAACACTTAAGGCAAGGAAGAAAGCTGCTGTGATAGTCTAATTCTCTAACAGGCAAACTTAGAAAAAGAAGTCATAACAAATAAGCAATTTTATGAGAGTAAATATATTGAATGACACTCAGGAGATCAAGCTACAGGCAATTAAACCTCTCTAGAGGCTTATATTCAATAGAGTTCAAATGTTTCAAAAACAAGCATGGAAACAAATAAGCAAAACCCTGATGAATGATCAGTTCATAGGGGGCAGAGCCATCCAGCAGCCTCAAGGCTCTAATTAATACATGCTACTAATGATCACAATGGGTCATTAGATAGATGGGTGTATATTAGATGCCACTACACATCTTCCTTCCTATATGGTACTAAAGGTATTAAGAGGAATATTTAAAAAAAGTACAAAGGGTAGCTGAACATTGCATGCCTATTTCTCTGTGCAGTGAGCTACTAAGTATTAGCTATGTTGCTTTTAAAAAGTTACATGTTTTATCAGATAAAAAAAAAATCAAGAGAAATTCAATTTAAGCACATAAATACTGTTTACACTGCCTATGGGGCAGAAAAGAACACAGCATAAGAAATGAAATGAAACTACAGTTTTAGTAACAGCATCTCTCTGTCTAAATAAGAGCTGTTCCTGCTCCTGGAAAAAATTACTGCAGAAAGAAAGAAGAAAGTCTTAATAAAGTATGTTGGCATTGCTTGAATTTCAGTCATTTTAATGACCTAATCCTAAATCCTATGTCAACCATGTTATCTGATAAATTTATTTGCCTTTTCTTTTGCCATAGCAATACAAATGCTAACTTTTTCTTTAGTTTCAGAAAAGTCTAATACCTGGCTATTCTTTCTATTGAAGTAGTAAGGATAATTATGAAGTAATGAAAGAGTCAAAGCTGGCTTTTACTCTCATTGAGTAGTGCTTCATCCTGTGAAATGTCCAATTGGTTGATGATACTGCTCATAAAATATTTTGTGAGTTTGTATGACAGAAGATAGATCCAAAAACTATTTTTTTTTTTGTTGACAACAAACAGATATTGCTCAAAAAAAAAATAAAAAAAATCCACCTGCTTCAGAATTCACCTGCACAATTCAAAACCAATTCAGATTCTATCTTCATCAAAACTCAGTACTTTAATAGAAATCTTCCATACTATACCTACTATTCCATACTATGCATACTATTACTGTTGTTTTAAAGTTAAACTGCTTATGAAATACTTCCTTTGACCATTTTTTTTTAACCTCAATAATACTAATAAAATTTTTGGTATATACAAAATTCAATCTGAAATATTTCCATTAAGTCTTGTTGGTTTTACATACACATATATAAAGGTGTCATGCACTTAATTCTGCTGTCCTAAAGTGATAAAAATTGAACCTAACATAGAAATTATAACTTTTCCTACAGCATCCACTAATTTTAAAGATATTTACACAGTTCTGTAAGCTTATAAATTCTGTAATGTATGAATAAACAAAACAAGCAATTTCACAGGGAAGCATACGTAAAAATATTCTAAATAAAAATAATTAAAAACTTTCTATACATTCTTGAAAGCATTGCTTATGCACATCATCTTTCTTAATTCCTTTTTAAGCAATTTGTAAGCATATGCCTAAAAGAAAAATGTTACAGTATCTGAACATTGACCTAACGACCCTGCTTGTAAAATATTTATTATATTTTTGCATACTTCAATACAATATTTATATATCTACAAAAATATTACACACATGCAAAACTGTGAGTGCATAATATATATAAAAATACATATCCATATATCTACATTATACTCATATACATATTTTTCCCCCTGACAGGTGTCGAGACTTAACCTAAATTCAACTGCTCATAATTGCATTAATTTTATTTCAGTATTTTTGTAAGATTAATTGCTTACCACTCTAGAATGTATTTCTTTGGCATAAAGAGGGAATAAGAATTCTGATTCCCCTTCTAGACGAAGGCCTTCTTTTGTAACACGTAGATGTCCCATTCCAGTCTGAGGAGAAGAAGCAAGAAGTATGTGCATTTTAGTATTGTTGCCATATTTCTCTTTTGTTCATTTCAGAAACTGAAAATGTCCAGAGCTGTCTGCCTAACCTCTATTTATAAAGATACCCACAGTAATGCATTTAACTTTTTGTGAATTCCTCACAATGTTCCTCAAGAACATTTTTCTTTAATAAATAGTAGCTTTCAAGAAAAATTAGTAGTTTTTTTGTTTGTTTGTTTTCTTGTTTTTAAGGGAAAAATACAATATTACATTCATTATCTTAAAAGGAAGGTCATTTGTATTGCTTGTGCTGAAATACCTTTTGTACTTCTAAAAATCATGAAAAATAGTTTTACACACAAATGCTCAAAAAACAAACCTTATGGTCATATCTCAAGATTTATTCTATCAGCATTATACTTCACACAGAATGCAACACTTCTATGCCCATTGAAGGGACAAAGGGAGATTTATATTTGTTTCCATTTTCAATAATGTTTTCCTTCTTTTTAATAGTTTTTCTTTCTTGGGAAAAAGAATGATCTTTTCCTCCTCTGATTGTAGGCTCAGGCTCCTCCTCTCACACTATCATATTACTTTCTCCCTCACCTGCTTGCTAGTTTTTGACCTCATTCTCTTAGTCTCTTTCTCACAATTCTAACCCAGTTCCACCTTCCACACTTTCAACCCATTTTAAACTTTTATTTCTTTTACCGTTATCACAGCATTGATAATGTGAAAAATGAATCTGGAAATACTACATTAAGCAAATCAGAGGACTTTTAGGCTTCAGCCAAAGGACATTTCTCACAGGTATTTAGGTAATTTATAAAGGATTTTCCCCCTGCACCACCAATGTAGAGTGAGAAAAAAGCTGAAAAAAGTATTACAACCCTTACAGCTCAGCCACAGACAAAATTATTCCAAGTCCAAGCTGCCTCAAGCTACAAGAAATAGGTGGGAGAGCTAAATAAAAACAATAAATCCAAAAACTATTTCTGTTCCAAATATTTTTCAGGCTGTTCTCCATGAAAGGAGAGAAGAGGTAATAGATGACAGGCCACAGATCAATAACCTATTCAGCTAATTAATTAAAAAAAGCATTTTTTACCACTGGAAAAAATGTAGCTTTAGCTGTAATTATTTTCCAATATAGCATGTTCTCTCCGATAAAATGATATATTTTATATATAAAATGTTAAATAACTTCTAACCAGACTACGTTGAAAAACTTTTTTTTTTTTTTTTTTTTTTTAAACAGGCTTAAAGAAAGATGAAGAGAAACAAACTTTGCTTAAATTCCATAAGGTGGGAAATCCTCATGTCAGCAGTTCATTCTGCTGGAGAGTACCACTACGATTCCTCCTTGGTATGCGTTTATTTAAGGAAAGAGGTTTTTAGAATAGCTATCCATGGAATCTGTTATTTTGTGTCAAGTATTTTACAGCTTTGAAATAGATAGTGTACTGACTTTTCTCAGTACACTAGATAAAATTTCTGAAGTCTAGACCATTGCAAAGCTTTTTAAAAAGTAGCTAGGATACATATCAGGAGTCTAAACTAAACTAATACCTGTGATGAATCCCCTATGTAATCCCCTTATGTAACCTTAATAACGATTTCTAGGCACCACTGAACGATTCAGGTATGTGTTTTTTTAGTGAAGACTATAGACTATTTTTTCTAACTTGTAACATAAAACAGAGATAATTTCAACACTATAAAAACACACAGATTTTAAAACAAACGGAGGTTTTAAGACAAACACTTTTGAAAAATATAAGAAAAATCATGATATTCTAGAGAAATACAGGTAGTAGATGTCTGTCATTTTGTTAAATAAATTAAGGATCTGATTATCTGCTCTCATCTCATGCCTTTTTCCATGAGGTGAAAATAGACTATATTAAACTTCATTAGTTGTTAACACAGTTTTCTTATTTTTCTTGGAATATAGGGAACTAAGTAAACAGTAGAGTAAGAGTAATAGAGTAAGCTAAAAAAAAAAAAAAAAGACTGACAAATTTGAAATTTAAGAAGGTAGAGGAAGAAGTAGCAATCAGGGAAAATTATAAACTCTTGGGTGACAATTTCTATACTGACTTTGGCATTGCCAAGAGACAAAAAGCTGCAACTGATGCTGAAAAAGTAAATTTTGCAACTTACTCTGCACACATTTTCTAATGGACTCAGATTTTTCTCTAATGTTTATTCCAAAAATGCTGTACAGACAAAAGAATATTTGACATCAAGAATAATACACCACATGGCAAAATTTAACATTTTAATTTACTTATATTTTTATGTTCTTATTTTCCATAAATCCAGACATACCACTCAGGATTACTTTGCATAAGTGCTCGAATATGTACCATTTTCTTCATCAAATATTTCATTTAGGCATTAGCACAATGCTCACATTCTTACATGTTTGAGTAAGAGCCTCATCATCCATTCTCATCATCTGGCCATGGGGAAAATTCTATTATTTCCCTTTGATAATAGGTAAAATGAAGTTACACAGAATGTAAAAGAGACAGATTTAGTATGAACAGGTACCGTAATGTACCGAGATGCAATGATAAGTTCCATAAAAAGGAAGAGTATAATGGTTACACATTATGTTCTTTAAAAAACCTTTCTGCTTCTTACGTTACCACTCAGGAGAAGCCAATTATAATTTACTGAGTATTGTGACTTCCTCAGTGATGAGTAACCTTGATGCTTTCCATCTCAAGGATTTGATTGTGTTCCTCTTCAAATCCTTGGATAAAAATATTTTATTGACGTGAGGAAAAGGTCCAAATGTAAGTTAGATGAAGGCTTTGATACAGTTATACAATAAACTATTGATTAGGGAAAAACGTGCTTCATTAAACATAGCAGATGTATAGTAAGTCTGGACTCCTGCTGTCCTGATGCTGGTGACTGTCACTGATTGATTGTGCTGACCCTTAGCCCTACACACCACTGTGTGTAACGCCCTGAGACTCCTATGTTTTCCAATTACTAAAAGCTCACAGCAAGGCAGGGACTGAGCTGTATAGAAGATGAGGATGAAAAGGTACTTCTCTGTAGACACTGAGCAGATTTTGCTCGCCCTGCAAGTTTACTGTTGTGGGAACTGCTGGCACCTACCAAAACCTTTCAAAGTAAAGATACAATTTAGCAACAGTGTTCAGAAAGGTGTGACCAGTTATTTATTTCAAAACTAGCAGATTCTAATTGGAATAAGAGGAAGCCTTCCAGAAGCCTTTTTCATCATTTGAAAATGCTCCTGTAGAGGTAAGCACTTGTAGAAACAGAGCCAAGGGATTCTATAATAAATGCAAGCTCTGAATGGGTTCAAGCCTCTTAAAAGGTCAGCAAAAGGCTCTTTGATTTGGAAATCACAGTTTAAAGCATAGTTGACCTCTATTCATCCAATTACATACATCAGATACTCCAAAGTTCCTAAAATAATTAGCTACCACTATTAGAATATTAGATAAGACTCATGGTGCTATGGAACATTTGCATGGGAGGGCCATCTTGGATGGGCTATCATTGTCTTAGACTCCGCAACGTGACAAATGTGAAATAATTTTCCTCTGAAAAAGGGGAAAGCAGTTCTGTTCTCCACAAAGTATGTCCAGGAGAGGTTCAGGTTGGAAATTAGGAGACATTTCTTCTCAGAAAGCATAGTCAGGCACTGGAATAGGTTGCCCAGGGAGGTGGTGGAGTGACTGTTTTTGGGGTTGTTTAAGGAAAGGTTGGACATAGTCTAGTGGGTGACATTAGTAGTAGGGGTATGGTTGAACCAAATGATCTTGGACGTCTTTTCCAACCTTAATGATTCTGTGATTCCATGTTAAGTCTAGCTAACAGGTTGAAGGAGGTGATTCTTCCCCTTTCCTATCATGACACCCCACTTGGAGAAATGTGGAGTAATGCATTCATCTCTGGTGCACACAGCATATTAAAGATGTGGATCTGTTCAACTGGATCCAAAGGACGGCCACAAAGATGATAAGATGGCTGGGGCACCTCTCCTATGAAGAAAACCTGAGAAAGTTGGGGTTATTTAGCCTGGAGAAGAGAAGGTTTGTGAGTGACCTTTATAGCAGCCTTTCAATACCTAAGGGGGCCTACAGAAACGATGGGGTTTATCAGGGAGTGTAGTGACAGAATGAGGGATAATGGTATTAAACTAAAAAGAGTGTGGTTTTAGATTAGATATTAGAAAGGAATTCTTTACTGAGAGGGTAGTGAGGTACTGGAACAGTTTCCCAGAGAAGCTGGAGATGCCCTATCCCTGGAGGTGTTCAAGGCCAGGTTGGATGGGGCTCTGAGCAACATGGTGTAGTGGGAGGTGTCCCTGCCCATGGCAGGAGGTTGAAATTAGATGATCTTTAAGGTCCCTTCCAACCCAAACTGTTCTATGATTCTATAATTCCATAATTCTATGATTATATGACCAAAAAAGTCACATGGAATGTGATGCACATTGCTGTGGGACTATCAAGAGGGGAAAAATGCAGCTCTAGGGCTCTTGCACCCACACCAATTTGCTCTCAGGCAGCTGAGCAACATACAGACTATAGCTTATGGATTCAAAAGAGCATCAAATATATATTCAGGATTTATCTCCCAAGCCAACATAATAATGTAGAGGTCTGCTGTTTGGGGTACTTGGCCCTTAAAAATGAGATGAGGCATAAGGAATATTCATTCAATTTATGCCGAGTGTTTCTTGTCACCTAAATTCAATCAGTATCCATAGCTTGCATTTTCCTACCAATGTAGAAACTGACATACATGGGGACTCACTACTCTTGGTCAACCACTACTCTTATTACATCGTATCGTATCGTATCGTATCGTATCGTATCGTATCGTATCGTATCGTATCGTATCGTATCGTATCGTATCGTATCGTATCGTATCGTATCGTATCGTATCGTATCGTATCATCACAGTTTCTGCACTTTCTCAGAATGTTAGTCTCAACTGAAGTCCTCAAACTC